CCTTTGCGGTTTCCGAATGCGTCTCTGGATTATCAACTTTTGTCGTCATGAACATGATCAGACTGTAAATCAGAGGACAGTCCCGGATGGCTGCGGCAGGTCAGTGGATGGTTGCCGCCCCTCAGTGTGGCCGTCCTCGGAGTGTACGCCCGCCTCCTCGTGCCGCCCCGATGCCCGGTCCGCTGCCCGGTGCGCTGCCTGCTCTTCCTCCCACTCGCGCCTCATCGCCCTCGAAAAGCGCCGGAGTCCCGCCTCGATACGCGACGAGAGGACAAACTGCACAGGCGCCGACTGGATGAGCGCGACCTGCCACCCCGCCGCCGGGTCGGGCAGCGCATACCGCAGCGTGAGCGTCATCGCCGCGACACCCGGCCTGCTCTCGACCACCTCTATCGCGCCCGAAGGCACGAATCCCGCGTTCGGGATGCCCTCGAGCTTGCCCTGCTCGTCGAGGACGGAGGTCCACGTCATGAGCGGCGGGCGGGGCGCGGCGAGCTCCGCCTGCCAACTCAGCGTCGTCGTGTATCCCAGCAGCCGCGCCGGCACCTTGAGCGCCCGAGGCACCGTCATCACCCACACCGAGCGTGACGGCCGGTCCGGGTCGACCGAGACGCTGTCCAAGAGCGGCGACCACTCCGTCATCCGGCGCAGGTCGGCATAGGACTCGTACAGCCGCGAGACCGGCACACCCGCAATCTCGATCGTCGCCGACGTCTCACCCGTCCAGCAGAGCGGCAGCGAGCGTGGCCGTGGGCGGCAGGCGGGCGACGGCGCGTGAGCCGGCCGCAGGGTGGCAAAGGCGATGACGCGCGCCGGCAGGAGCACATGTAGCAGCGCGGCGAGCCGCATGGTGGATCTGGCGAGTACAGCCACGCCTGCTATTATTCACAGCACAAGTGCAGCGAAGATCCGTCTTCCTGTGAAGACCAGCGCAAAGCGCCATAGGACGTATTTTCTTGTCAATAACAAGGTCTGTGAAAAAGTGAGGCGTGGTCTGTACTCGCCAGGAACAGGATATTCCCACCTCGGGAAAAAGAATTTTCGTGCGCGCGGCAAGGCGCGGGCGACGGCTTGTACAACGCCATATCAAGAGGAGAAAGGCGCCCCTACAAGTTACAAGATAGGTGGGGACATCCTGCTTTTTTGTTTTCTTTCTTTCAGGGAGGATTGTATTGGGAAACATCGAGAGGCGTGCGACTCCAGTCGCGGCGTCCCGTGCCCCCGAGTTCATTTTAACAACGGCGTAGCTGCTGTCGGTCGACTCAACAACGACGGCACGTCTTTTTATCTCTC